CGTCTCCGAGGCGGGTGGCAATGATGTCCTAGATGCCAACGTGGCGATGAGCGGCGACGGTTGCACGACCAACGGCTCCAACTTTGAGTCGACGGTGCTCAGGTTCGCCGCGAGCAACTCCGTCACGAGCGCCGTCGGCCTCAAGTCGCTCGTTAGCTCCATCTCGGCCACCCCTGCGCTCGGCGGCAGCTCGCAGCACAAGTCCAACGACAAGCACGAGGAGACCGCGCGGCTCCGCGACTCGGCTGAGCAGTTCGCCGCGGTAACGTCCACTGCCGCAAACGGAGGCGCTCTGCACCGCCCAGAGTGCATCGCGATGGCCGCCGTCAGCATGCAGTGCACCGACTCTGCCGCGAACGAGCGGGCCTCGGTCGCGCTCGACGCCTTGCACAAGAAGGGGCAAGTCGCCTTTCACCTCGGCGAGCACATGTCACTCCAGCTGCCATCCGATGGCTCCGCGCGCGCCTTCGCTGCTCTCAAGACGCAGCCCGACGGCGGGGTCAACCTCACGCTCAAGGTCTTCTGCCTGCCCTCGGAGGTTGACATCGACCTGCTCAACGAGGAGTCGGCCGAGCAGCTAGCCGATGCGGCTTCGCTGCTCTCAAGACGCAGCCCGACGGCGGGGTCAACCTCACGCTCAAGGTCTTCTGCCTGCCCTCGGAGGTTGACATCGACCTGCCCGACGAGGAGTCGGCCGAGCAGCTAGCCGAGGTGGACCGCGCCCGCGCGAGCGTCCTGATCGCCCTACAGCACGCGATGGGGGCATGGCACGCCGCCAACATCTCCTCGGCCGCTCTCGCCTCGCTCGGCGAGATGATCTGGATCAACTGCCTGATGCACGCGACGGTGCACGGCGTCGACGGCTTCATGGATGCGCTCAACGAGAAGCTCGTCGCAGCGCTGGGCGAGGACGAGATGGCCGTGCTGCGCGGCCTCCAGACGGGCACGTCGGCAAAGTCGGCGGAGCACAAGAAGCAGAAGCACAACCTCATCTGGCTCGAGAAAGCGCCGCTCAACCACTTCATCTACCAGCTCACCAAGGTCTTCGCTGCCTGCGCCAAGATGGACTGGTCGCACGCCACTCACTTCTGCGAGTTCGTGATCTTCAAGAAGCTCCTGCGCCACGGATTATAAATCATACAACTTAATTAATAACAAGTTATTCGAATTATATGCTAATTTATAGTTAGTTATAGTAAATATCTATAACTAATTACTAATAATTCATATTTAATTGCTTAGGGGTGAACCCACGTAAAAAATACGTTCATGCCATATAAAAACCTCCTAGGGGTCGGGTGCCAGGCAGACTAGACGCTGAATCGAAGTAATAGCCACGCTTTATAGCCAAAGCCCAAAACGCCACCATTTTGACACCGCCCAATATGTAATTTAATGTAAAGCACTGTAGCTATTATTATTAACGATAACTTCTCAACACAACTATTTTTTATTTATTTTAAGGATGCGTATGCTAGAATTGCAGACTTATCTGACAAAGTCTTCATCATCTCGAATTTGGCCTCAGTGGGCTCTGGCCCCCCTACAGTATAACTTGCTAGACGGGCAAGGGTCGACGCGTTTAGCTTAATCTGACCTAAAGTAGCTGAACCTAACTAGCGCTATACCGCCTGGGGCAGATGCGCACAGCAACAAAACACGCGGCCTTAGATCCACTCACGGGACGAGGCCAGCCGCGCGCCGCTCCGCCTCGAGCTGCTACCGGGGCGAGACGAAGACGGACGAGTCGGCGCGCGGCCTTGGCGGGCAGCACGCGCGCCCTGGCCATTTCGTCGAGCTGGTAGTCGCGCAGCCGCGGTGGCCGCGCGCCTGCCACATCGTCGTCGCAGTAGGTGGCGAGCATCGCGTCCTCTGCGCGCAGCAGCAGCACGTGCCGCGCGCACTCCGAGAAGGCGAGCGGGTCGTCGAGCTGTGCCCACAGCCCGAGCGGCGAGAGATCCATGCGGCGCAGCGTATCCACGCGGTCGATGCCTGCGGGCGGCGCGCTCGCGAGCTTGCGGCTCGGTTCCCCCTCGCACGGGCCGACGCAGAAGACGACGGCGTCGAGCAAGAGGTGCCCGTCGTGCAGCAACGTGAGTAGCGGTACGCGCGGCCACGCGACGGGCTCGGGCAGCAGGCACCCTCTCGCAAGTGTACTAAAGGTCGTACTTCCTTCGCCAGACGTCTCGCCACGGCGGTTTGCTGGGCACGGGCGCGGTTCTGCTGCTCTGTGCGGCCCTTGCGGACCTGCGTCTGCGCCGTGCCACACGCGCGCGTGTGCCTGTTCATAGCCCTGGTAGACCCGAAGAGCTTATTGCACAGTGAGCATTCGACACCCGGCGGCGAACGCGCCTTCGGGACGATAACGAGTGTCGAGGGAGGCGCGCTCGCTGGCGCGCCTGGAGAAGAAGGAGCCATCTGGCGCGCTTAATTGCTCTGTGTCGGTGCCTGAATAAAAAAATGAATAAAAGCGACGCCAGCACTGGCGCTGGCCATGGCCGGAGCTGGGCTTAGTCGCCTCCGGGCGCGGTCCAATAGGGGCCTTTACACACCCACTGTTACAACACGACCGGAACCAGAGCCTACCGTGGCGTTTTGCTAGTTTGACTTTTTTACCCTGCCGGGACGCGCCTTGGCTTGGGCTATCCGGCGCTCTAACTCCCGTCGCAAAACTTTAAGCCCGTGGCGCACTATCACCCGCAAGTGTTCCACAATGGATCCCTGTTACACAATAGGGGTTTAGTAATGATAATGCACATGGACTGTCAATGTCATGCGCACAATCGATCAGAATCTGTTATCACATTCACTGTAACTAAATCAAAATGTGAATTGTGAATTATGCCAATATTCATGCTTCAGACGTTTCAGGGATCGATCGCGACCCACAGCCCTTTGGATTGAGACCGAAACGCGGCTAGAGCTTGAATTCGAAGACGATGACCATTTAGTGAACACTTCATTTATAGAGAGAGAGACAGTGTCATGCATGGTGCACTGGACGGACAAAGTGCCAGGCGAAGTGTGCTGCGCTGAGCTCCGAGCGGCTGCCCGCGACGAGGCGAGCGCGAAACTGCGAATAGCTTCGGTGTACAGATGTGAGGAGGCAGCGGGTTGCTCAGAGCAGCACGCCCATCGGCAGCACGACGAGCTCGTCGCACGCGCGAGCGAGGCGGGTCCACGGCCCACTACTCCTCGTCGCCAGCGCCGCCGGGCTGCGCCGCCAGGCTGAGCTCGGGAGAACGTTGAAGGCGAGGGAGCGGGGGGCTAAGGCGAGGCCGATGCGCATCAGCCGCTCGCGCAGCGGCCGCCCGGGCCCAGCGGCCGGCATCCGCTGAGCCATCCGCTTGTGGTGCGCAGGCGCAGCTCGTCGCGTCGGCTGCGTGAGCGCGCCGAGGCGGGTGGCAGGCGGCGCGACGCCGCCACTCGCCAGCCCGACGGTGAGCGGCGCGATGCCACCGCTTGCCAGTCCGACGGCGAGGGCCAGGGCGAGGGCGAGCTGGCCGGCACGCATGGCGATGTGGTAATTGGCCTGAACGCCGAGTTACTGTGTCCTTCCGTCGTGGAGCCACTCGGAAACTCCCGTGAAATAGCGATGTTAATTGATATAAATTCAATTGTTGAACGTACATGCAGCATGAAACCCGTCATAGCTCAGTTGGTAGAGCAAGCGACTGTAGATGTTCACGGATATCGCTGGGTCCCTGGTTCGATTCCGGGTGACGGGAATTCTGTTTTGCTCTTTTGCCTTTATCTCTTTCGCTGTGTACCCGATCTCGTGTTATTCTTTGCTGCCTGTCCTTCTCCCATTTTTGCCGCAGCGCCAAGTCATATCGTCAGATGACAGAAAGAGCTCGTAACGTTTACATTTACAACTTGTTGATGAAGTTCGGGCCACGCAGGCGTGAGAGCTCAATGAGTATGTGCCACGCCCATCTACACGGCCAAGGAGTGTGCGCCACGCCCATCTACACGACCACAGCCTCGCGCATTTCTCATCATCTCTTCTCTGAGAGCTGGAAAATGAATTGCTCTTTGGCACTTGAAGTGCGTTCTTAAACATTTTTTGACACTGTGAATGTGCTCAACCCGTCATAGCTCAGTTGGTAGAGCAAGCGACTGTAGATGTGTTCGGTTATCGCTGGGTCCCTGGTTCGATTCCGGGTGACGGGAGCTTTTACTCCAGAGTGCTCTTGCCGTTCTGGCACGCAACTGTTTTTGTTATTTTCTTGCAGCAATGTCTACTTCTGTGCCCGAGCGCGTTTGCCGTGATTAAACTACATGTGATATAAAATTAAAATGACGTGCGCTAATGCGCAGTTCGCCTAACCGCCGGGGACGGTAATCTCCAACCCCTGGTCAAGTCCCAGGCGGCGGGGTGACTCTATAATCCTCCACTTATATATAAAAAAAACTCTCTCCTCATCCAAGGTGATTGCGGTTGTTGGCCTGGGATAAGTGGTTTAGTTCATCTGTAGTGTGAGCCGATGTTGCTGTGTATCACGCGGATGGGCGTGGGTCCGAGGTTTGTTTGGATCAGCTCTTCAGCGGACCAACGCATCGAGAAAGACATGTAGAAAACAGAGCACACGGATATCGTCCCACGATGCGTTTTTTTGTTAACTACGACTTACTTTCAGAAAGATGGGGCAGCAATGTGCGTTATTTTCACATTGCTCTGGTTAGTTAAATCTGTTACTTACGGTCAAAATCCGAATTAGTGGCCAGTCCGGGGGGGAAATTAAAAAAATTCCGCTGAAAATCCTCCGGAGCAAGTCAGGAACCGGAAGTGGACATATCGAGAGGCTAGCGGTGTTGAACGCAAGCACGAGCTAAGAGAGGATTGGAGTCCGAGACGCGGTGAAGCGTCGAAGGCAGCTAGAGAGAGAGAGAGCTATAGAGCTTAATTAAGGAATAGAGCGGTTGTCAAGATGGCAATCAGGATGTCAGACAGAGCCCAAGTGAGAGGACACTTGGGCTCC